CGGGTTCTCACCGGACCAGGCTCTCACATCACCAAGCGCGAAGCGCCGTGAGATATTCGGCGAGTCGCATGAAGGGTGCGCTGCATCCTGCTAAGGGTTTTCGGCATCTTGTGCTTACTTCCTTGCGTACGGATGACAGGTGCGTATGAATCAATTCATTTTGTGGTGCTTTCACTTCCAGAGACAGTTGCAAGCACTGTGTAACTNGGCAAACACCGGGGGGGGGCAACAGGGGGGGTGGGGGCTATTTGGCGAGTGAAGCAATCCAGCGTTTCCCCAAAACCGTTGTGGTCAAGATGTAAGCCCCTCCATGCTTGGGTGTGTACTGCAAGCTGCGAACCCCTCAATTTTCGCTTGAACTCGTTGTATTCATTGGTGGAAGAATTTTCTTCGATCGGCCGAACTCGTATGTGTGATCAGGCGGTAGTAGAAGCGGGGAAGCTGGCGTCGCCGGCCTGCGAAGAAGCTTCTTGGGACCAACTACACGACACTACCGTGGCCGACCTGTCGAGAAGGGGGAGGCGTTTTTCCGTCCAGGTGTGTGCGAGGACCGCCGGGAGGACCGACGAACCTGCCATGAGGGCAATTTTCTGCTGCCTTGCAGCACAGCGATCGTCAGTACACCAGCCGAAACTGGACGACGCGTAAAAGGGAGGTTGCCGTGCAGACGCGCGTCAAGTAGACGTGCACCGACTCAACGGGATTTCGTGTAGATATTGTCTAACTTTGAAATGCAGCGCGTGCGCAAAAATATCAAAAGCAGAGTCTGATTCCGTGCCTCGTTTCTGCACACGCTTCCAGCCAGACGTCGCACACACAGCAACACGTTGTCGAGCCCAGGCAATCCAAATCCCCCACGAAATTGTTTGTTTTCTGAGCGAGTCACGAAAACCCGTCGGAAGACGTAGCGCCTGGGCTGGCTCCTCGCGCTGCGAAAAAACTCGCCTCCTCGTGCCCATCGCCTCCATCCAGGACTCGTTTCTTGGCGAGGAGTGGGTGTCCCCGCTGCTGGAGGACAGCGCTCGGTTCCAGGCCGCCGGCAAGCTGCACCCCCTCGGCCTCGAGCCTGAGCACGGCGAGATGGCGTGGGTTGAGCCCGACAACGTCGAGTTTGGCTTCCCCGCCCTTCACGAGCTGGTCGTGAACTTGCACGCTCTGGCTTTCGAGCTCAATCTTAAGGATCCCGAGCTGAGGCTCCGCCGGGCATTCCAGGGTAATCAGAGGGTGGTACCCGTCTGTCCTGGTTTTTGTTTGATTTCCAGGCTTGGGAGCATCTCCAGGGGGGGGGGGGGGGGGGTTCCTGGCAAATTGAAGCCTTGAGAGTGTTGCTGTTTTTTTTTCTTCTTTAAGTGGAGCCGCAACAAGTCGATTAAGGATCGGAGATATCTGGATGGTGCGTTCTCGCCGTTTACTTGCCACACCTAGATCACGAAACCACTATTGCTTTTGTAGTGTCGGACAGATGCCTCCAGGGGCAACGCTTGGGTTGTCATGTTTTGCCGACTTTCCGCCTGAATTTTTTGCACTGCCCCAACCGCCGTGCCTGCAACAGGATCGACGATGCTGCTAAGGCTAACAGAAGGGTGCCGGGTGCCGGTTCGTCTGGACAGCGTCGCCGGTGGGGCGGAGACAGGGCACAAGATCTCGGCCGTGTACTTCATCGGGCGAAAGGGAGGCGGTGACGCCGACAAATCACAGCAAGCTTTGAGCGAAGAAGGCGACGCAATCAACGCCGGAGGGCAGTTGAGACTCCAGAACATGGAGACGAATGCCCCTCTTGCGGAAGACATTGTCGGCAGCAGCAGCGGTGATGCATCGCCTCTCGAAGGTAACCCGCCGCAGGAAAGAGAAGAAGTCAACACCTCCACCTCGGACGGAAGCAGAAACACCGACGTGATTGGCGGCGGTAGCGCGCCCGACGAGTTAGGGTTTACAGGGCCGCGAGGAGGGAAGGGGGGTGAAGAGTCTACTATGGGACAGGGAGCAGTTGTCGTGTTGGAGCCTACGGCAGACCGGCTGGTCATGTTCCGCAGCGACTGCGTCTCCACCGAGACCCTGGAGGTCTTGGGCCATGAGCGAGAGCAGTACGCGATGTTGTTTTGGATGCACGGGGCGAGTGGTGGGGCCGGCGACGTTGCTGGTGATGGTGGTGGTGGCCTTAAGACGGACGCGGAAGACCTGTCTTCGTCTTCGCAGGGCGAAGTTGGTGTGGAGGAGAGGGATGGCAGCAAGGGAGCCGGCTCATGATGTTTGTGTAGCGTTTTGCCGCTCGTCGCTACCACGATTGTGGTATTGCTGAAGGGTAACCTCCGTAGCAGGAAACATTTTCATTTCCCCCAGACTTGCAGCGAGATGGATGAGATTTGCAAGAGAGGACGCATGTGAAATATTTGCTAGGACACGCTTGAACGTCCCCCAGATATGAAAAATCAGCGAGTTGTGCCCTTACGGATGAGAGGGGGAAAGAAGGGGGGGGGGGACGGCAGCGGAATGTTAATATCGGGGCTGCATGGGAGAAAAGGAGCTCGCGTTTCGCAGGGAGGCAGAATCTCGAATCTGGGATTTCGGTTGGAGTAAATCGGCACATCTGTGTCCAACGGTCTTGACTCCAATATCAACCGCGATTTTCTGCATCCACACAAACCGAACGGCAAGAAATCGAAAGCAATGCCGCTGAAACTGTGATTGCCACAGCCATCAATTGCACCACTAGTAAACCGGAAGCAATTCCACTGATTTTCGAGACGTCTACTGTACACGCGAGCAGGCGCACTGCTGTACTCATGAACTTTCGGTCTTTGCCAGCACCGTCACCCAAGGTTGCGCGCGGCAACGCTGCCGAACGACACGATCCCTTCCTGTCCCGCTCTTCTGTCGGAACCCAGCTCGCGTCGAGCGATACATTGGTCACCGCCGCCGCCGCCGCCGCCGCCGCCGCCAGAAGATGCGGTGGTGCTACTGACGGCAGCCTCCCGGGCTCCTGTGTTGCTGCTAGCACCGCGGACGCCGTCCCCAAGGGTGCGCAGGAGAGATGCAGCCGTCACCGTCTCTCCGTGACCGGCCACGTCTAGAGCTGCAAGGGCGAAGGCCCTGGGGGGGTGTCGCCCGTTATCTCTTCGGCGGGCCTCCTGGATGAGGTGGACGAACGCCCGGTGGAAGTGAAGTGGTTGGGCAGGGGGGGGGGGGGGG